AAATTTGAAATTCGCTCGCGCCATGTTGATTCGCCGAAGGTTCCTTCACCTTGTATGGAATGGCTCGAAGCACGAGACACACAGAGTTACATCACATAAAGCACACCCCCAAGTTGAACGGTGTCTCTGGTTTCTCGATGCACAATAAACACAGCGATTTAAAGTAACACGGACCGGAAAATGTGATTTTCCATCAAGTACTTTAATATCGGTTGAAGCTCGTTTTCTCTTGCGCGATGAATAGTTCCCAATAAGTTTATCGAGTAATTCCAGGCGAAAATCAAGGTGCGTGATGCGCCCATGGTTTGGGGAAAGCTGCCGCAAAATGTAAGCATTTACTATCGCTGTTTCAAAAAGAAAAAAAGCCAAATAACGGTACCAGCGCCGCGACTTTACCGGGATTGGGTACTTGTTTCTCTTCTGGTCAGCATAATCAACGCCACCCATGAACTTGTTGTATGCAACTACACACGGCGGTGCATTCAGGACTTCTTGTGTGCTGTCTTTCTTTCTTGGCAGGACAGTATCGTCTCCAGTTGGTTGACAATTGGTGGTCAAGAAATTCACTTTCTTTTTGTCCTGCCAGGAACATGCAGTAACGCCATTTCGCTGCATTCAAATTGATTCGCCACGGTTCAGTTTAGCCTCCTTGAGCGGTTGGGGGAATTCTTTCCTGTTCGCGCGCGTGGTAGCCGTGGCATAAATATTGTTGTCTAGGAGGTCCTTCATGAGCTTAAAACACGAAAAGAAATTGTCAAAATAAAGATGATAGTTTCCATTGGCCAAATCTCTTGAAAGTTCCTTTACAACTCGTTTTCCTAGCCCATATTCTTGCCCTCGATTTGGTCTCCCTGTATAAACATCGAACTGACAAACAAAATGGCTGACTGAATCGGCACGAAGCCAAACTTTAATTCCGCGCTTTGCTGGTTTAAGAGGCATGTACTGCTTAAACCCAAGGCGTCCTTTAAACTTTATAAGCCCTTCATCAATTGCATTTTCTTTGTTAGGTTTGTATTCTGCTGAAAATGTCTCTGTAAGCCTTTCAATTAGAGGGCGAATTTGGTGTAGTTTGTCATGTCCTTCATGGCCTCGTGGTACCGCTGTTGTCGCATCATTGAAATGTAGGTAGTCGTTTATTTTCAGGTACTGATTGCGAGTCATGGTATCGCTGACTTTCTTCACATGAAGATACTTATTTCTGGACCAGAAATGTCGCTCTGAAGGCAAAGTTTTGATCCCCTGAAATATTCGGATCCCAAAATATGCACGAATGTCGGTGGCATTCATGGGCGTCCAGTTTTGATCTCCGCATTTAGGTTCGTCTCGTTCACAATTAATTCTATCAAATCTTCATGGAACAGTTGATAGAAAAATCTATCTGCCATTGCTTCTGGGGGAAGAATATTTGTTGGCCCCGTGTCGTTTTCAAAAT